TGCCACATCCCTGCCTGCCCCTGGCTGTGCCACCATTATCCAGGAGAGCCCCAGCAGCATCCTCCAGGGCTGGAGGAGCTGGCAGCGTTCCTCGGCCCTCCACAGAAGCACTTGTTAATTCTCTGTTCTCCCTTAATTACACGAAGCAATGACCGTTTCATCATCGCTTTACAACGCTTCGCCTTAAACCCACTATAAGGCAGCAGTGTTGTGGCTCAGACACTTTAATTAACAAGAATGATCTCACCTTTGTCTGCAGCATCTTTTTACGTGTTATTATATCAGGTAATTGTTAAACTATTCACTGGTTTGGAGAGGTCTATGCTTTCTTTCATTAAAATGTCTTGCTTTTTCTGACCCGGCAGATTACCCACATTTTTACACTTAGAATTTTCAGGTGATTTCAGTTAAATCAATCTGCAGGAAACCAGATGAATTATTTAAAGCACCAGTGGTCTCACACTAGAAAATGGGATTTGGTCAATGCTTCTCCAAATTTTAGGAGTTTCAAGGTGCTCCCAGAGCTGGCTGGGAAATCAACTCCCTGTTGACCAAAGCTATCAAAAGAATGAACTGAATAGTTTAAATTCATTTGAAAACTCCCCACACTTGTGGGAAAAAAAAAGGCATTCATTAATTTTTAACATACCCTTTCTTGTTTCCTCTCTCACCAGGAAAAAAGGCTGGGAGAGAAACCAGGGGCTCTTCCCTCAGGAAAAAAAAGCCCTTCCAACTGTTTTGAGCTTTTCAGAAATGCTGCTCATGGGTTTGTTGGGGGTTTTTTTAAGTGAAATTACACTGAAAATGTGGAATGATGAAATAAAACCCAGCCCAAATCCCCAGATGATAAGTCCTTTCAGGGCACGCTCTGATGTGGATGAAACTTGCTTCTGACCAATGTTGACTACTTGAAAATGTCTGTTCTCTAAAATCAGGCAAAACTGAAATAATTTTTGTGTAAAAAATCAGGACTGGCAAGAGCATCTTGCTTGCACCCTGAAGAAGGTAGGCAGTGATTTTACTTCTCTGCTAAAACACGGCCCAGGGACTGCGGGAGGCCTGGTCCTTCCCAAGAGCATCTCCAGTTCCCAATTCCAGCACCTGGTGAATGATCAGCTGAGAGCAAGACTGGGATGCAGGCACAGGATGAGACTTCTGCCTCAACTCTTCAAGGACCAAAGCACTGGATAAACCCTGAAATTTGGTCTGAACGCTTGAACCTTCATTTCCTCCTCTTCCTCACCCTGAGTTCCTCCTTAGAAGCAAAGCTGAGTTAGAACAGACGGGAGAAAATCCCACTACCACTGGCCTTCCCCATCAGCAGCATGAGCATCACCTGTCCCCAGCACAGATATCACAGGAGCAGGAACACCTGGGGACCCTCATGGCCTTGCCCAGACTCAGCTGGGACATGGACCTGCCCATGGGCACTGGAGCTCTTGCAGCTCAACCCGGCAGCAGTCCTGGCTTCAGCCTTTCTTCAGAAGGGCCTTGCATTATATCATCCCATCTCTCCGGGCTGGAATCTGCTCCCATCTGCTGGACTGTGGTGAGTTCTGGATCTTGTTAATGTCTCTTTGTGCGTGGAGGTGTCCATGGACACTGGTCTTAGCCCTGCAGGATTGCTCCTGTGGGTGAGGATTGCCCTGACCCCCAGCTGGACCTGCTGCTCCCCAGCAGTGAGTTGTGCTCTGGGTGGTGGTGAGGGCAGAGCTCTGTGTGAGCACATCATTACCCTGGCATCAACCTGGGAGAAAGGGCTAGAGGGCACCCTGCATTTTGCCCCTGTTTGACCCCCACGGTTGTGCTCCATTCCCAGGGCTGGGGCAGGTCTGCTGCAGCGGCACCCATCACTTTGGAGAGGCTCAGATGAGGCTTGGAAGCCATGCTGGGTGTCAGGGCTTTTGGGCTGTCCTGCCTCTGAGAAGGGCCTCTGGCACTGCTGGGCTGGGGGCCATGTCTGTGGCTCCCAAACTCACCCCCAAGGAGAGAGGATGGGGAGTGGCTCTGCCCCTCAGCCCTGTGGATGTGGCTGGGGACAGGGCAAGGGCAGCCTGGTGTGACGGTGATGAGAGTTGTGGTTAACTGGGTTAATTATATTCATGTTGCTAGGAACACGGTGGATTATGTTAATAGCAGCATCTGGGGAAATTACATCTTCATTAATTGGTCCTGATTGCTGTTTGGCAGATGCGAGATGTTTCTGACTTAACATGCAGGACAAAATTTATTGTAATCAGAGCAAGCAGTGACTGCACAAACACTGTTACCA